GGAGGTTTACTAGAGTAGATGGTGATGCTTGTGACGGGGGGTTGCCCATGATGGGGTTGATGGGATGAAGATTGGGGGGAGTCACGTGGGACGGAATTTTACAAAGAAAAGAGAGTGCTCGACCCGGCCAACAAAGACTTGTATATATGTTTGAAGGACTTGTACACTATGTTTTAATAAAAAGACCAAAGTGTCCCCTCACTTAACGGCCCTAACGGCCATGCACCATTTTTTTGTAATGAAACATAAATATGGATGATGATTCTTATAATTTCAAAAGACTAGAGATGTGAATCGGAGCTTCCATAAACCCTGAGTACAGATTAACATGAAAATCTACCTCAAATGCTATAATTTTGTCTTTTATATAAATTACTTTTATATACAGTAAATAGATAATTCAAAATTTCTTTTCAGTTGTGGTAAAAATAATCTAATTGACAAACATCCAAGTTATGATCAAACTAAATTTCATGATCAATTGCAAAAAATCATATAAAAATGAAATGATTGAATTATCATTAATTAATTAATTTGAATAAATATATTTATTTGAAAAACGACAGACGAATATTATTCAAAATCAAGAATATATCAAATTCTTGATTTCAAATTGACGATAAATATAAGTAACTAAAATTAGATAAGATATTTTATAAAAATACAAATTCCAATATTTTTTATATAGTTAAAAATTACTTTTCTAAATGCTACATCTTGTTTTATTTCCAAATTTAGCAAAGAAAAATGAACAAATACTTTTTTTTTAAAGTGTGTGTCAATTTTTAAGTGGAAAAGTTTAATTGATTTTTGAACCGGAGTAATGTAGATATTTAAGGGGTGTTTGGGATTCTTTATTTAAAACAATGTACTTATCAGCTTATGTGGTTTTAAATTGGAGTTTTATAAAAAAATATTTGGATTAGTTTATGGCGGTACCAAAACGTAATAAGTCGATAAGTTATGTTATAGTATTTGACAATTTTTTCTTATACGTGTAAAATTACCGAAATAGATATTCTTTCATATTATGCTTCAAATCAAGCTTTATGGATCTATAAAAGAAACCAAAGATTTACAAGTCTTGAATTCTTGCAACAATTTCCCATCTCGAAACCCAACAAGAAATTGGGCTAATTCTTCAAGAAATTGGGTTAATTTACATCACTTGAATTCCTGCAAAAATTTCACATCTTGAATTATCGCATCCTATTTGCATCCATCGATATCCCACCATTTCCTCCCTCATTTATGCCGCCGCCACTGCTGCACTCACCTTGCCATAATCGACTTTCTGAATAAACCCTGCCTAAGCTTTTCTTACTCTGTTCATCAATGTTGGCACCATCAACCTTAACCCACATTAGATCTGATCGATTTTTGTCGTTAATTTACGTCACTGGATCTTTCAAGCATTCATCAATGGCCAATGTTTCTTCAAGAACTCGTAGAATTCACCCACCTCGATTTCTTGTTGTTGTTGTTGTTCTTGGTGTCCCTGGTAATCGTAATCTTCGTCGTCGTTCTCTGGCATTTTGCAAGAACTTTCGTCATGTTGGAGGAGGAACGATCGGAGGAGGTTGGTGAAGAGGTAGGTTGCACGTCGCCTAGCCAGAGGAAAGGGAGCTCCATGGCGTTATGGTGGTCGACAGGGAAGAGAATTTGAGCGACGAGGATTAAAAGAAAAGGGTAAAAAAGTAATTTGGTTTATAAAGCTGATAAGTTGTTTTTGATAAGTTTGTTTCACTTTTTCCTCAAACTTTTATATTTCCGCATTATTTGTTTGTGCGTGAATAGAAAAACTTGTAAAAACCAAATGTATTGTATCAAACAACCTTTCTCCCAAGACTACACCACCATTTCATACATCATCTCCGAATTATTGATGAAACTGATTCATGATTCATAATTTTTTTTTCCTTATTTAATGGGATGTAAGGATTCGTGTGCAATTATTTTTACTAATTTGCATCCCTAATCAGATGTTACGAATTCTAGAAAACACATGAGGTAGGTAATTCGGAAAATTATGACTACGAGACATCAGTCTTGATAAAATCAGTAGCCATATTTGTTATACACACATTAAATCAAACCCAGAACACCAACCACTATACCACACCCCTTATATAAATAATACTATAAATGTTTCAATATCATTAATAGAAGTCAATAAATGACATCTAAGGATCTAAACTTTAACTTTGGTTATAAAATAGGTACCTAAAAGTATCTGTCCTTTATCTTGTTTAGTCCATCTAAAACCACTTCATAAATATTTCTATAACATATCATGTGATTTAAAACCCAACATATGTTTGGATAAATCGTGTGAAAGGGTTTAATATCGTTCACTTATGATAAGATAGAAGAAGTAAAAATGAAGATAAATATTTAGGATGGTTAAAGTTAATAGATCATATGGATAGTGTTTTAATCGTCATTATCAACAACCTAACCTAACGAATATAAGGAAACTGATATGACAAATACAACAGTATATTAAGTATATATTTTGTTTACTAAGGGTTTGTTTGTTAGTAACTTAATGGGGCTCACAACTTATTTGATCAGCTATACATGACTGATGATGGCTTAATGATATAAAAAGTGACATATTCAGTAAGCTTCTATAGGGCTTTATGCAAAAAGCCAAGTTATTTCTAAACTCGTCCTTCCTAATTAAATGACATGCTTATTATGTCTATAAAAAACTCTTTCAAACAAAAACCTTCCTGATCTATACATAAAGATTAATTCACACAAACAACTTTATCCATACAGGACTTAATGAAAAACCAACCAAACAACCCCCGAAGAGATAAAAATAGGTAAGAACATGTATAGACATTTCACATTCAACTTTATGGATGTACTGTCATAGGCGAAGGGCAAGAGAACAGGGAACCAAAGTGGTATAAACATCAAAAGCACTTCTTTTAAAGGTAACACCTAACAGTATGGTGAAACAGGGTTTTTGGTGAAAACCATAAAGGACACATGCGTAGAAAGTATACTTTATTGCATGCTACAAGACCTCCGAGCATATGGGTAATATGCAATTTTATAGTAATTATGAAGGCAAAGTTTTTATGTGAGAGACAAAGAAGATAGAGTTAGAAGAGAAAAAAACCAAACGGAAGGAGAACAAGATATGCGGGATTCTTGTGATTCCGTTCATTCCAAAGCCCCGAGAAACAAATCGAGGCTTGAGAAAAATAAAACCAATCTCGAGACCCTGAAACTTTGCATATTAATTCATTTGATGTTTAATATAGTTGAAGGTTAAAATACCTCACTCTTTCTTATAGTAGAACAAATGTCACGTAACGTGTGTGATTTGTGGATAAATTTTCGGTAAAAAGTGAAACTCAAAAGTATAGGGGAAATAATGCTAAATACTTAAATAGAGAGAGCAAACTGAAATTGAGGTATTCTTGAGGGGCAACTTGCAACTTACAACTTACAGAGATCTGGGCTGCTACTGCTTGCTTAGCAATCAATCTAACGGCTCAAATTCACTCGATGACACAATAATTCCATTTCTCTGGAATCTTATTGGTCCGATACACTCACTCCTTCGGTTTAACAGATCCAACGGCTCACATTTCACTACCACTATCACCCACCCTCACTCACACACAGACAACTACCCCCTACGTAAATAATACTAAAGACGCCCAAATTCCAGTTTGTGCCACAAAATTTGATTTCCTTTTTGCTTTTCTTGCTCTAGGGTTTACTATATCTAATCACAGTAAACGGGCGTTTCTGGGAAGCTTTTGGTTGTTGGTTCATCGATCAAAGGATTTGCGAACCTCTGTGTTCGTTAAATCGATCAATTTGGTTGAATACATAGGAGAACTTGGTGGTGGTTAGCAATTTTGGAAAATCGAGGTTAATAGACTTTTTAGGGGCTGATAATCATGTTTTTGGTGGATTGGTTTTATGGAGTTTTGGCGTCGCTAGGTCTATGGCAAAAGGAGGCTAAGATCTTGTTTCTAGGGCTCGATAATGCCGGCAAAACCACTCTGCTTCATATGTTGAAAGACGAGGTTGGTTTCTTTAATCATTATGTTCTTATGAATTCTGGTATTTGATTGATACTTTACATGATATGTGATAAGTTTGAGTTGCCAATGTCTGAAAATGTTACTTTCTTAAATTCACACTAGTGGTGCACGGATTCTACGAGCACATATTTAGCGTATTTGTTGGGTGTAGCATCTAAAAATTGTTTTGTGCTGGGTTAATTTTGGCAGAGACTCGTTCAGCATCAGCCAACGCAGTATCCGACATCTGAAGAGCTGAGTATTGGAAAAATTAAGTTCAAAGCTTTTGATTTGGGAGGTCATCAGATCGCTCGTAGAGTTTGGAAAGATTACTACGCGAAGGTATAATTTGATTGAAACTGGTTATCGAGGATTGGATCTATATTTGATGGCTCAAATGATTAATTTTTCATTGTGCTGTAGATGAAAGTACGACATATGATTCTTTCGTTACGTATTATTCTGTCATAGTGGTAATCCCAAATGAAAGTCATTCTCCCCCTTTTTTGCTGGACTTTTGACTATTGAGTTCAATTTGATTACTTTCTGACATGATTTTTCTACTCTACAATTGATTTGGATTTTTGTACAAGGTTGAGTGTTAACAACATTACAAACAAAAGATTAGTTGTAAATTTATCAACCAAACTAGAAACTAAAATATCCACATTGATCTAGGGGCTGTTTACCAAACTCTTACCTGGTAAACGTTTACCAGTAAATTTCAATAATATCCTTACTTACCTGGGTAAGATTTTATCCCACCAAAACCACTTCATATACAGCAATTTATCCGGTAAGCCCTAATCGTGGTTTTTAATTTCTGTTGTTGGTTTTTGGCCTTGGGCTATCAACTATTTTTGCATTTAAGTGATGGTTTCTTGTAGTTTAGATAGAATTTTGGCACAATCTTTCTGCTGCGCTATAGGTTATTTGACGGAAGCTTGAATTTAGCATCGACTCGTAAGGACTGTTAAGGCCAAATGGTAGTTGAGTACTTGTTATGGAACCTGCCACACTTGTTTGACTGGTTATAAAGTACCGATTTAGGGGTCAGTTATGTGATAACCAATTTTTTTGAAGTATGTTACTTTCCCCTAGTTTCTTACTTTCTGCGTTTTGTTCAATCCCCTGCCCCACCAATTATGTACAGTAGGCCCCTTCTACTGAATTCTGAACTTTTTCAAATATTGAGTTCCAAACTTTTGATCATCCAAAATTTCAATTTTTCTCCCCAAACATTCATTTTCTTTTTCAAACTTCTAAGCTTTTTGGAAATTTGTTTCTTTTTGCCAGCAATCCACATTTATCAATGATTAAGTTATCCTCACTTGAGTATGTTAATATTTAACGAAGTCATAAATTTTTGTTAGAAAATAGTGAACCTTTTGACCATGTATCATCACTTATGTAAATGAATAAAAATTGAATTAAAATGTTTACCAAGTTTACCAATATAGTCTTAATTTACTAGGAAGTATGCCACCTGTTAACTCATTGGCCTGTTAACTCCTTGGATTCCTTTACCAAAATTTCTTTTATAACTACTACATTGATGGCTAATTTGGGCAAAACTCTCAACTCTATTTATATGAGTAAATATAAGGCTTGTGCAATTTAATTAATCACAGAATTATGTAATTTGTCTTCCAACTCTCTCAAGTTTTAATTTTTTTTGGTGGTTTTGATTTATACATATGCATATGAAGAATGGCTATAATGTTATGGATCCATATGAAGACTGGCTAGCCCAAATTGAGGGTCATGGTAAGCCCAACTGGGAGTTGCAAATAAGGTGCCTAACTTCATTAGGCATCCCACTCTAACACATTTCATGATGGCTTACTGACGAATTACTTTTAGATGACACTAAAATTGAAATATTTAAAGTTAATTCAGTGTCATTCCCTTGAATAAGAATTTATAAAACAGTATGCAAAAGCTAGAAAAGAATTGAAATACTCATTTAGATTGATTGCTCCGATTTTCTTTAAAGAAAACTTAGACAAAGCCAATCATCAGTTCCCAACCATGGGGAGAATGAAATCCGATAAATAAATCAGTTAATAAAAGAAGAGAAAAAGCTTTTATTGTGTCACTTAAGTTCCTAGAGGACTGATCTTGGGCATATCATAATTCGCAAATAGTCATTTTGGCTGGCGGGCTCTTGTTCTCTTTAGCTTTTGCGTGTTGTTTTAAAGCTTCTTGTCTAAGGGATCGAGGATTTACCTTTCTGTATTTCGGTTGTAGTGCAGTTGTAATTCCTTATTTCTTCATTATTGAATGTGTTGAATTAGAGCCCTAGTTGAATTTTGAACTTTGTAATCCCCAGTGGAGCTTTGTGTCATATGTCCAAAGACCAGTTCAAAAACTTTATTGCAAGTTATTATATGTCTTCTTAATATAAAGTTGATGATCCCATCAACAATCTGTGACATCTCTTACTACAGGTTTAACATTTTCCATAAAACTTCTACTAGATCAGAACTTTGTCAAATCCGAGCCATTTTCTTGTGATCTGTGAAGACCTTGATGGGAACGTTCTAGTCGTCTTGAGTTTGGATGATGTAATTATCAAGTTTATTAGGGGCATAAAATAAATTGTAGGGTATTGTAGAGAAATGGCCAAAATTTTTGTAAGGTTGTATAGAATTGAACCGAGGGTTCTGCATTTTACACAAAGTCAGAAACTTGGGATATTCAGTTATATTGAAGAACTGGACCGGTAACTGAGCTAACTGGTCCTCAACTGTTGTTAAATCCTAACTGGTCAATGCTAAAAATCCGGGCCTGCTGACCCACTAGACCTTTTTGTAAATGCATGTAGGTGGTCTTGAATTGGGCATTGGTCTTCAGACAATCTGAACATATCTAGTATTAGGTTTTTATTACATATCGCTCTTCCTATTTATCGTGTATCAGGTCATATTAAAAGTTTACCATGTATTACTATATTGATGTGCCCTGTACATGTCCTTTGTGCCTTTGCAAGATCTATTTCTTTTGTTTTGCGTATCTTTTGATATTTCATTCACAATTCACCTATTGGTTCCTACATGTACACGGAGAAGTTATGGAGCATGTAATAAAGGGCTTTTGGTTTAGCGGTATTCGGGTCACTAGTAGACCTAGGAATCTCACCAATGGTGAGGAGGGTGTGTGAGTTCATGCCGTATATGAATAATATATACTTCAAAAAAAATTTGGCCCTGTGGAGGTTAGGGGTTCAAGTCTCGCCAAATGTGAGAAGTGTGTGAGTTTAATTTGCTATATGTAAATATTATATGCTTCAAAATAAGGAAACCTTGGCATGTCTTTTAGAAGGATCAATTTTGTGACCTTTATCTGTTTAACCTCTACAATTACTATGGAACTATGACTAACAATACCATGTTATCGAGTATCCAGGATTTTCACTGTTCCTCCATAATCCTAATCAGATAAGGAAATAATTAAACAGCATGTAGTCTATGATTCTATAAAGTGACACTATGTATGTATTCTATGATTCTATAAACTTGTATATATTATGATATCAGTATTCTGAAATGTGCTATAATTCTAGTTTCCTAGTTTGAAGAAGTTGCCAATCTTATCTTTGTGTTTCTGAGTTTGGTGTTGTAAGCAGCCGATTGATCTTGTAACCTTCATTGAGATAGTTTTTGATTTTGATTTTGTTCATTCTCTTTCAAACTCTAATATTTAGGTGGATGCTGTTGTTTACCTGGTGGATGCGTTTGACAAAGAACGATTTGCAGAGTCAAAGAAGGAACTGGATGCCCTGCTGTCTGATGAATCTTTGGGTAGTGTACCATTCTTGATTCTGGGGAACAAGATTGACATCCCTTATGCTGCATCAGAAGACGAGTTACGTTACCACATGGGTTTAACGGGGCTGACTACTGGGAAAGGTAAGGTAAATTTGGAAAATTCTGGGGTTCGGCCTCTTGAGGTATTCATGTGTAGCATTGTGAGGAAAATGGGGTATGGTGATGGGTTTAAATGGGTCTCTCAGTACATCAAGTAGGGTTTATGAGATCGATCTGATTCGGTGTTTTTATTGTTTGTCGTCTTCTTTACTGGACTTTGTGTGTCTGTCTAGACTGTCTGTTAAAAAATATACAGTGTTATATATATTGTTTCTGTTGTTCCAGTTTATGGGTGATAAATATTTTGGTGGGTACTAATCCGCCACTTGACGCCTACATTAAGGGGCCGTTTACCAACGCTTACTGGTGTCTTTGGGTTAAGTGAGTGTGGTGATTGTTTCTCTGTTTTACCTGCTATACATACCAATCCATTTAAACTCATTACTGCTAAGGATTTATTGAAAATATCCAAGTTAAAAAGAAAAAAAACAAATATAACAAATTGGTTGGTGAATTTATGATTTACAATGCAAATATACCAAGTATATATATATATATATATATATATATATATTTGCATTTAAAACAAAATATTCAAACTCGTATACTAATGTTTGGCACTTGATGGGTGCCCCTTTTCTTCTTGACAAAACAGAATAAATATCTCTTTACTTTTTCCGCTCATATATTTAAAGACTTTATGCAAGAACGATTCTATCTCTTACTTTTTTAGCTCGTATATTCGGGACTTCATGTAAGAACGATTCCCAGGGTTATGCATATAAACAAACTAATTTAATATAGGACCAGGAGGGTCTGAAAGATAACAATTGATACCAACCCAATCCCTGTAAAATGGTCCCTCGGTTATTTAATTTCGGAGGGGTGCACGAAAGCCCTATCAATCCGATATTAAGCCATTTGATACATAGTCGAGTTATAAAATCTTTAAACAATTAGTTATTGGATTAGAGTCATTTGAACCTAACCAAAATCAATGAATTTAATGAGTTCTCTATATACACACAAACATTAGATATTAGGCCGACATGTAATTAGCGCTATCATAGTTAATGGGCATCGCTGCAAAAGTATTATAACTTTGAGGAATAACTCGACTAGTAAGGAACTTGAGTTTTTTAGAGGTCATTGGTTTAAGTCCATGTAGCTGGAAAGTTTGTCTAGCTCTTTAACTTTGGAGCATCACCAACAACCACTTTAAAATCTCACTTAAGAATTAAAATGACATTTCTTTCTCATCGATACTGATTTTTGGTGATTTCTTTAAATTTGGAGATATGTGAAATCTTTTTCTTGTTTTCTTTATTTTTAACAACATTTTAGAGTAGTTGTTGGAACAAAATAATCTTTATTTTAAAATAACAGTTAGAGATGCTCTTAGGACTCAAATGGAATTATGCATGGTTCAGACACCTATCGTTACCAAAACAAAAGTACCTGCAATTTCTTGGGTATTTTGTGAAAGGAAAAAAATTGGAGGTGGCCAAAAACTACAACTTTTTTCCGCATGTGGATATTTATGATAATAACCCGAACAGGTGTCAGGTGTGTTTTTATATTACCTAATAAAGCTTTGCCCTGGTGTCTTCTCAATCTTACTCTCCATCATCAACACTCTAACCTTCTCAACTTCATCCCATTTCCCATTTTCTGCATATATATTTGACAACAAAACATAGTTCCCAGAATTCCATGGCTCCAAAACCATAAGCTCCTTAACTGCTACTTCTGCAACTTCCAAATAGCCATGATTACGGCAACAACTCAACAACGCACCCCATAACGCACCATTCGGCTTCATCGGCATTGATTTTACTAAATCATAAGCCTCTTTCACGGACCCACCACGCCCAAGAAGATCAACCATGCACCCATAATGCTCAAGTTTTGGCTCAAGCTGATGGTTTGACACCATTGAACCAAATAGGTCCCTGCCTCTTTGAACCAACCCTGAATGAACACAACATGTTAAAACCCCAATAAAAGTGGATTCATTTGGGTTCAATCGATTCTTGATCATCTCATCAAACAAAGCTAACCCCTTTTCCCCATTCCCATTGAAAGCCAAGCCTGAGATCATGGTATTCCAAGAAACCACATTTTTCAGTGGCATTTCATCGAACACCATGAAAGCGGCATCCCAAAGCCCACGTTTGCAGTAGAAATCAACAAGGGCATTGCCTACAGAAACATGATTTTGATAAAGTTTACTAGATTTGGCATAAGAATGGATCCATTGCCCAATATTGTCTTCCCCCAAACGTGCACAAACAGGCAGCATAGTAATCACTGTCGCCTCATCAGGTTCGAAACTGCTATCACGCATCTCATAGAACAGTTTCAAAGCTTCAGCATCGCGGCCACTCCTTGCCAAGCAAGATAACATTGTATTCCAAGAAACGACACTCCTTTCTTTCATTTCCTTAAAGAGACTGTAACCCGTATCTACTTTTCCTGTTTTACAGTACCCGTGAATCATCAAATTCCAAACAATCACGTCTCTGTCGCGCATTTCATCGAACACCTTCTTAGCATTATCCATTTTCTCGCAATTCGCGTAGAATTCAACTATTCCAACTCTAATAGCACTGAAACAATGAAATCCAAGTGAGACGAGCTGAGCATGTACCGTTTGCCCGAATCTAACATCGCAAAGGTTGGAACACGACTTAAGTATAGGAGCGAAAGTGAACTCATCGGGCCAAATTCCATGCTTCTTCATGGTGCAAAACAAGTGAAGTGACGTTTGGAAAGGCGGTGAGAGAGAGTAACCTTTGATCATTGAATTGTAGAGGAGGATATTGGGGTGCTGGGCTTGGAGAAAAACGAGATGGGCGTAGTCCATTTTACGAAGTGAGCCACAAACGGAGACGAAGTGTGAAAGGATGTGGTTGGATTGATGGAGATGATGGCGGAGGAAGTGAGCATGGATTTGAGTAAGATGGATCCGGCTACGGCGGCCATGGAGGTGGGTGAGGATTCTCCGCTCAACCTCTCTGACAGTACCTCCTCTGCTCATTTCATGAGAGTTGTATACAGAGCTTCCATCTCCATTACAGTTATGAAGCCAGAGACCGGAACTCACTTTTCAGCTTGTTGCAGATTTTCAACAAAATACTCCTCTCAAATATAAAAAAAAAAAAGTGAAAAGCTTAAAAAATAATCGGATTGATTAAGTTATTACACAATTTTTTTTTAAAATAAATAAATTATTGAACATTCTAAAACATGTTAAATAAATTTTTGGACTTTTTAAAAATATGTTAAATAAATTTTTGGACTTTTAGAAAATATGTTAAATTAATCCTTGGACTTTTACATTATTTGAACATTACGGATGCTATCAATTAAAATTATAGCCTGCAACCTGCTATATAGGTAAATTACAAATTAGAACTCCCCCTAAACATCTACACTGAATTGCCGCTCCTCATGCTCCACCACCCTCCCTCAATCTCGTTGGTACGCCACCGCCCTCAGCCCAACCCCGTTGTCGTCGCTACCACCCCCGTCCTCAGTCCAACCCCATCGCCACCGCTTTCTGCCTGGCCCCGTTGCTTCGCCGGTTATGTGGACCAATTTCTTAGCGGATGTGGTTCGATTTATTAGTGGTTCTTTGTTTGATATTTCAACGGCTTTCTTAATCCTGTCGCTACACCACCGCTCTTAGCCCAGCCTCGTTGCGGTCGCCAGTTGTGCGGATTCATTTCTCAGTGGTTCTTTGGTTTTATTTCTCAAGGTTCTAACAAGTTTGATTTCTCAGGTTTGATCCTATTAAGTTTGATTTCTCAGGTTCGATTTCTCTCTTTGGTTTTATCATTTAAGGAGAACATTAGCAACCCTGCTACCATTAGTCCCTTAGTCTTGCTACCACCAAGTGGTATAAGTTCTCTTTTGAATAATCTTTTTTCAATTATGCCTTTGATATATTACTGAATAATCTTTTAACATTTTTTTATATTATTTTACAATACCATCTATCTTATCAAACATGACTAGTTTATCAAATAAATTAATGACAACGATTTTGGAATACTTGTTCATTTAATACGAGATAGGTATTATGGTTTAATGTTTAAGCATTTTATACCTTGATTGGATCCATGATCCATTTCATTTCTTTGTGGACTTGATCCTAAAAATTATAGTAATCCCTGTGGTTTGTTGTTTATTGCTATTTTCGTTCTTGGCCTTCAAAAATTGCTTTTTAATGACTGTAATATCCATTTTCTTTCTATTTTCGTCCATGATGCTAACTCTGTTAGAATAAGTCCGTTAAATCAAGGGTTACTTAGTCTTTTAGGTTTTATTTTTTACTTTTAATTTAAAAACTTAAGAAACGCATCATTTAACCAAATAATTCCCTCCCTGGTGTGTCGACCTCCTCCTTTTCTACCCTCCTTCTCCAGTAAACACCACCACTTCCATCCACGCCTCCGGTGAACACCACTCACACCTTTGACCAATGTTCTCCCCCCCTCGTGCTGCCTCCTGCACCTCTTTTTCCCCTACCTCCTTTTTCCTTCCCTTCTTTCCCTTGCATTCGGAATCCAACCACCATCCTCATCCAAGCGCAACCATGATAGAGCCCCTCCCTATTTCTTGATGTCGATTTGATTGAACATACATGATCACCGTCATATTTGGCCTTGTACTGAAACGATTTTTGATTAGTTAGACATAATATTTATCGCACAAAGTATACCCATACCTAGGTGGTACATATAGCTCGTTATCCCTCTATTTTCCACTTATGTACCCATTTTATTTCTCGTACTAATATATAAAACAATTAAGTTTTTTTATTACATTTCATAATCCAAATAATTTTCATCACAATAAACAGAATCCAACATATCTATTGAACTAATTTTTTTTACCGATTTGTGCAAGAAATAGATCTAGTTGTACAATCTTACAACGAGTATATTTCTCTTTTATTTGAACATATTTATCAATTGGTTATGCATTATTTTTATAAAGTATAAACCTGCTAATAAATTGTAAATGTTGTTGTAACATGGTAAATATATTTTATGAATATACTCACACTTAAATGTTTGAAATCGGGTTAAAAAAATCAATATGAGTATCAAATTGAAGAGAATTCGTTATATTTAAGATAATTTATACTTATTTAAAGAATTGAGATAAACACGGGAGTCTCCAAAACTTGATCTGTTCAAATGAAAAGGAAGTATCAATTTTCAAAAACTATTCCAGTTTCAATTCTTATTGTTTACAAAAGTAATAAAAAGAAATTGAAAAAAAATGTATGCGTTAATGATTTATACGTAATGCTTTATACATGTATTCTTGAAAAAAGAAAGAGTTTTGAAGAGGTAAATCCTAAATATTTTATAGTATAACTTGAAGTATTTTCATCCAATGCAGCTCAATACTTCGCTATTTCATCCCTCTTGATTTTATTTTATGAATTTATGTGATTTTTGATAGATGGTGGACTCTTTTGTTGCTTATCAGTTTTATGGAATATTTTTCTGTATTAGTAGGGCTCAACATTTATCTTGTATTTGAACATGTTTATCTGTTGGTTATAAATTAGTTTATAAAGTTCAAATGTATTAATAAGTTGTAGATATGTAATAGTAAGTTATAAATGTTGTATAATATAGTTTAAATTTATATGAATAAACTCATATAAACATACTCATCATTGATATTTTGAAAAATGGGTAATTGTTTTTGAATATATATATATATATATATAGAGAGAGAGAGAGAGAGAGAGATGAGCGATCAAATGAAAACCACTCCAATTTGTAAAAACCGTGCAAACCACCTTCATCCGTCGATTTCATTGTTTAATCTTATGAAATTTTTTCATAAAATTGTTTAATCTTGTGAAATTGTTTCATATAATACTTTTTTTGATGAAGCTGTTTCATATGTGGTTATGAAATTGTTTCATATACTACTTAATGAAATTGTTTCATGTATTTCTCTAAAATTAAAATAATGAAGATGATAATATCCTTGATTAACACCCTCCACAATAAAAATGATTAATCAACCTCTTATAATTACAAAAAAAATGAACAAAATGAAAAATTATGATTGGTTGAATGAGGTTTTTACGGTTTTTACAAATTGAGTGATTTTCATTTGATCGCTCATATATATATATATATATGAGACGGATAATTTGCAAACCTCCTCATTTGTACAAACTATACATATCATTTTAAATTGTAGATTTCATTAATGAATGTCCGAGTTCATTTCAATATATTTTTGTTAATTAAATAAAAAAATTAGTGATGATTATTAAATAAAATGACATCATAAGGGTCTAAAAATTTCCTATCAGGATCATCTAAAAACATTTCTATTATCTAATCTATTTCCAAAAAATATCATAAAATCAAATCAAAAGATTTGGTTAAGAAACCTTTTACAGAAAAATAAAAAAAACACTCATGATTTTATGGTCTTGTTAATGAAAAAAAACCTCATGGTTTCATGGTTTAATGAATGAAAAAAACTCATGATTTCAAAATTTTATCGTTTCATTGATGAAAAAACTCATCTTTAATGGTTTAATAAACACAAACAAAAAATAACTATTTCATGGTTTCATCAATACCAGAATTCTCATATCCCAAAATATTAGGGAGTTGCTACTTACCATAATTAACAGCTAAAACATCAAAAAGATGAATCAACCCTTATAATTACAAAAAAAAAAAAAAACCCAAAAAAGAACAGAAAATATATGATTCGTTGAAGAAAGTTTGTACAAATGAGTAGGTTTGCAAATGATCTTCCCCTATATATATAGCGTCAAGTTTAGGGATATTGCAAAAAAATTGAAAATTTGAGAAACACCCTGGTAAACCGTTCATGTTGTCATATGCACATATGTATATAAGTAATTTGTAATCAATTTGTCCAGTTTATAGATGTGCATAATGTTCATATATGCATAAGGACCAAGACACAACTTCAATTACATGTATGCACATGTGCCTACTATCCAGATGAATGATTATCAACGTATTCCTCAATTTTTTATTTTTTTTAGTTTTCCCTTGATCCCTTGAACCTCCCCCTCCTCTCTCTCTCTCTCTCTCTATATATATATATATATATGTGTGTGTGTGTGTGTGTGTGTGTGTGTGTAGGGTCAATCATTTGTTAACCAACAAAAAGGTGCTAACTCTGTTAACCAATCCAGACCGTCCAATAATTAGATCTATGGTTGAGATAGGACTGTGTCATATTTGTAAATATATAGACAATAGAGCACATGTTCAGGTTGAAGCCATGGTGAATCTTGGTGAACAAGGGTAACACTGTAATTTGACTAGCCACAACAAATTAGTAAAAAGTTCATGATTCCCTGACATCACTCTTCTCCTATTGATTTGTTCTAACTTTGGTGCCACTACCAAAAAACCGTAATCTTTTACATAGATTTGAAGACGATGAACGATTCCAATCGATGTAGATGTAGAGGTCGAAGAAAGGGAATGGTGCTCGTTCCTCCCCCATCTCATGTGAACCTCTCGATCTCTATCTCCTACACCGACCCCGAAACATTTATGAATGATTTCCATCGATGTAGATGTAAAGGACAAAGAAAGGGAATAGTGCTCATTCCTCCCGGATCCCCCATCTCATGTGAACCCTCTCAATCTATATCTCCTGCCCAAACATGGTGCTCTTCCACTTATGAACATAATACTCATTCATATGTGAACATGGTGATGGTTCACCTTATGAACATAGGAATGGTCCAATTATGAATGAAGGAGTTATTCACTTATGAATATGTGAGGCATACAATTAAGAAAATGGGGTGGGTTACTTATGTAAGTGGGAGTGGTTAGTTTATGAACATGGGATTGTTTCATTCATGAATATATGCTCTTCGAAATATAGGATCGATATTATAGATTACAATACAGCCAAATCAAAAAGAAAATCAATTAATAAAAGAATTAATTAAAAAAAATGACTTTCATAATTATCTCTCTTTAAAAGATGAAAAACTACTATAACGACCTATCATAAAAAAAATAAAAATTTGAAAAATACAAAACTACCCCTGATTCTTAAAGGCGA